AAAAAAAAAAAAAAAGAATAACACCTAAGTTTCTGGCACAACATGAGTCAGGGAATCCAGGAAGGTGGTGGGTTTGCAGGGTGTATGGTCAAGACTTCTGTCCTGGACATGCTGAGCGTGAGCTCCAGGGTCTGGAATCAAAGGAGAGATCCGGGCTGATGGAAATCCGTGAGTGACCTGTGTACAGGAGGGCATGGTCATGGGCAGGTAAAGCATTGGGAGTGCGAGAAGGAGGCAGAGGATGGATCCTGTCAGAACTGACCGTTCCTTAGTGGCAGTGGAGGGGAGATGCACCGGCAAAGCGGACAGCAAAGAAATGACCCAAGAGATGAGAGGAAAGCCAGAGGGTGTTTTACTGGGGAGCCCACGGGAGCAGATGGAGGGGCACACCTGGGAGGCCAGGCGATAAGCCAGCGAGGCGTTGAGGGTCCCCTGTGCTGTGGACTTAGGCGTTGATGTCCATGCAAGGTGAGGAGTAACTGGTGAATGTTTACACTGCCCTGTGCACACCTGGCACATCGCAGGTGCTTGGCAAATATTAGCACTTGTTTTCCTAGCCTCGTCGTGTTCAAACACATCACACATCGTGTGGGTCTCCCCCTCCGCCTGCACTCATCGAATGTGAATACACTGACTCACGGTCAGTTCCCCACGCACCAACACGGCAGATCAAGTAGGATGTGTGAGCTGGCCCCGGCTCCCAGGTGCCACAGAGAGGAGCACGCACCTGCCTCCGTGTCGCTGGCCCATCCCTCCCAAACCAAGAGGCGCCCACAGCAGGTCATAGCCTGCACACTGCAGTTCTGCCTCAACCCGCGAGCCTCAGCGTGCCTCTCCTGCTGGGAGAGGGGCGGAAGGATACGGCCGGAATGTGTCTGAGCATCCGCAGCCTGACACGCGTGACTTCGGCTCAGGAAACCAAAGAATTAAACGCAAAGCTGCAGGGGGGTCGCTGGGCGGTGCCCGCGCAGGTGCTGAGCCTGCAGCTGAGGGGTGTTTTGGAAAACATGAAGACCTCAGTGAACCAGAATCTGGAAGAGCAGTTTCTTCTGGTGCACGGCTCTCCTGCTTTCGCAGGTGTTCGCCCAAATAACCCTCCAAAACTCGTTCTAGAAAGTGCTAGCCTTCTTTTCTGGCTGAGAGCTGAAACACAATGGTGAACACAATGTAATCTTTTCTGCTGAGAACTTTCAGGAGCCTCTCCTGTGGGTTTAAAAGGCCTGGAAACCAGACCGCGCGCTGGCATCGGGACATGCTGGGAAGACGCTGAAGCCCTCCTGTCAGCTTGTTCCCTTGCGCTTTGCCTTTTGTGCTTTCAAAGCGAAGTGCCAATAAAGGAACCTGGTTATGAACCCCAGGGTGGTAGGCCCTCACTTGGGCATCGCTGTAACTGCAGCGCCCTCCCGTTTTCCTCTGGAGCCTCGAGTAGGTGCATAGCAAAAACACGTTGAGGAATGACTGCAGCCCGGCCGGTGTGGCTCAGTGGTTGAGCGTCGGCCTATGAACCAGGTCACAATTTGATTCCCGGTTCGGCTCAGTGGTTGAGCGTCGGCCTGTGAACCAGGTCACAGTTTGATTCCCGGTTCGGGCACATGCTAGGGTTTTGGGCTCGATCCCCAGTGGGGGGCGTGCTGGAGGCAGCTGATCAGTGCTTCTCTCTCGTCTTTGATGTTTCTCCCTACCCCTCTCCCTTCCTCTCTGAAATCAATAAAAATATATATATTTTTAAAAGGTGACTGCCTTCCTCTTGAGGTGCAGGCACGCTGTCCCTGGGGCCCTGGCAGTCATCTGGTATTTTTCACGCGCCACGGTTTTGCTGAACGTTCGCCCTGGCGCGGGCTGCCAGCGCCCCCGGTAAATCAGGGACAGGCCAGTCCTCTCGCTGGCCTGACCCTAGAGACTCCAAGGCCATTCTCCTGCTGGCGCAGAAAGAGCGGAGGTTGGACGGGTCAGCCTGGCACTAGGTCTGTCCCCCGCCAGACCCGGTCACACCCAACACCACCCACACGAGTGCGCACAGGAAGGAAGCTGGGAGGCACACGGAGGGGAGGGGGATGCGTGGCTGCGCCCTCTGCAGCGGGACTGCTGGCCGATGGGGTGCTCCCAGTTCAGACAGGCCACTGTGAGCTGGGAGAGGTGAGTAAGAAGGGCCCCGCCCAGGCAGGCCCTTGGCGACAGCAAGCAAAGGGTGGTCCTGGGAGGACCTCCGGCAGCGCCTCGTCTGACCCTGTCTGAGGTTTGAGGGGGGAAGCCAGCCCAGGCCGGAGGAGAGCTGGGTCTCGACCTCCATCCGTGCACTGCTGCTCACATGCTCGGGCGGTCCCCCTCTCGAGCTTCATGCAGCAGACCCTCCCTCTCCGTAAAGGTGCGGCTTGCCCCCTCGCTGCAGTCTCTGGGAGCCAGACCCCTCCTGGGCATCACACTCCAGATGTGTGTTGATGCTCGAGGCTGGGAGGGGCTCTGGCATCTGCCTGGCTGTGGTTGGAAACGAGCATCCTCTCCGCAGACTCCTGGGACTTCAAGCAGTCCACGCGCAACATCTCCCCCACCATCAACCAGGCCAACATCGTGGACCTGCACCCGGCGTCCGTGTACAGCATCCGCATGTACTCCTTCAACAAGATTGGCCGCAGCGAGCCCAGCAAAGGGCTCACCGTCAGCACCGAGGAGGCCGGTGAGCCCCTCACCCTGCCCGGTGCCCTGGCCTTGGGGTCAGGGACTCCCGGGGCCCTCACCCACCCTGTCCACGGGCAGCAGGCTGGCCATTACAAGAGGGAAGAGGGGAGGGAGATCCCAAGGTATTTGTTTAAGTCCACCGGGGTTCATCTGCTTGGCCTGTTCCAGGTGGGGTGCTCCACGCTGGCTTCTGGGAGCTGTCCATGGTTCTGTCCTGTGCCCCAGCCCCAGCCTGTATGGGAAGGACAGATGTGCTAGATCTGCAAAGGGTGGGGTACTAGTGCCCTGAATTATTTTCAGTGACCTTTGTCATGGGGTTTTTCTGAAATTTTAAACAAGATCTCTGTTGCTATATTCTCTCATAGAGATAGAGAGAAAGAGAGAGATAGAGATAGAGCTAGAGAGAGAGATAGAGAGAGAGAGAGATGATAGAGATAGATAGAGATAGAGATGGTACAGATAGAGAGAAATAGAGATAGAGATAGAGGTAGAGATAGAGATACAGATAGAGATAGAGATAGAGATAGAGATAGAGATAGAGATAGATAGAGATGTGTGCAGTTTTACAAATTACAGTAACGTAAGAACTCAGATAGCCAGTACGCGTTATCATTACCAGCATGCCAGAGGTTCTCTCCATGCCCCTTCCCAGCCATAACTCCATCCCTCCTGCTGAGGTAACCAGTGTCTTAACTTCCTTGCTTTTCTTTCCTCTATTGTCACCACAGTGTCTATACACATACACTATATAGTTTAGTTTTGCCTATTTCCAATAGCATGTGTTCATGAAGTTGTAGTTTATATATTCTTTTTGCGTCCTTGTTTTGATAAATATGTGTATGAGTGTCCTGTTTTTAGTACAGCCGTAGCATGCAGGCCTTCTCAGTGCTCTGTGGTATCCCACCTGAGGGCCATATCACAGTCCGTCTGTCCATTGCCCTGCAGCTGAGCATCTGCAGTTTACAGTTGGAATGTGAGCACTTGGGTGCATTTCTCTCGGGGACACGAGCAGCTGTAAGATTAGAGAGTCATCAGACGTGCATACGAGTATAAGAGTTCTTGCCAGGACACACCCTTGCCCACACTTGTACTGTCAAACATGAAAAATTACAGAGAATAAGGAGGAAACATAAGCCCCAGATGGTTTCAGGGGGCTCACAGGCAGGTCGTCTGCTCTTGTCAGTGAGCATGTCCCTCCCACTCAGCAGTCCTCCAGCTCAGGGAACAGGAATGGGAGCACAGGACTCTTCCTCGGGGACTTGACTCGTAACATCGCTCTTCTTCCTCCCCACCAGCCCCTGATGGGCCCCCCGTGGACGTCACCTTGCAGCCGGTGACCTCACAGAGCATCCAAGTGACGTGGAAGGTAAGTGGGGTTGGAGGTATCTCCCTGGAATGCCTCCTGGCCTCCTCCCCGCAGTCCGGGAGGGAAGCCCAGCAGGCGGGCTGGTGGTGGTCTCTGACCATGCCCATACTGGCTGTCTGATTGTTTGTTTTGTTGATCCTCACCCAAGGATTTTTTTCCATTGATTTTTTTAAAAAGAGAGGGGAAAGGAGAGGGAGAGACAGAGAGAGAGAAACATTAATGTGAGAGAGACACATCGATTGGTTGCCTTCTGCATGCACCCTGATCAGGGCCGCAAACCTGCAACTGAGGTACCAGAATCCAACCTGGGACCCTTCAGTCCACAGGCTGACGCTCTGTCCACTGGCACACTGGCTAGGGCTTACCCATGCCTGTTTACTGGTAAACCCAGGGAGACTGGAAGGAAGAGCAGAGAGGCTACAGGAGCTAGTCCCCACCAATCCCCACTTCCCTCTCCGCCCTGGCTTTCCGGTGGAGGCCTGTGCGTGGCATGAAGAACTTGGCAGCGCCACAGAGGGAAGGTGGCTTTCCACCACACTGGACTGTCCTCCAAAGCCCACATGTTGTAAAAAGCCAGGAGTGGGGGCAGGGCAGTGGGTGATGGCGATGGCAGGACAGAGCCTCACCCTCTCTCGGCCCTGTGACCGGAGCTGGGTGGTAGGTTGATGCCATCCCCTGTCTTCTCACAATGAGGCCTGGGACAAGGGGCTTGATCCTGCCAGGACTCAGTGTCCTCCGCTGTGAACAGCATGAGAATAGCTGGCACATGGAAGAGATTCAGAAGAGCCTAGTAATGTTTTCCCTAAAAAGACTCTGTGTGCGCATGCGGGTGTACAGGCACACACACAGACACTTACACACACACACACACACACACACACACACACACTGCAACAGAGCCTGGTCCCTTCCCTCCCAAAAGAAATGACCAAGACAAAAGTGGGGGTTCCTGTAGACCAGCCCACAATGTGGATGGCGGGAGCCATGGTTCCCCTCCAGATGCAGATCAGGCTCCAGGGCTTTCCTTGGAAACTGGGGGCTGGAGTCTAATCCCCAGGTCTCCTCTGCCTCCTGGCTCTGGACCCACCTTCTGGGAGCGCCCTGAGGAAGCCGGAGGCGGGGCAGGAATGGGCAAGTATGTAAAACACGGACACGGGACATTTGGCTACAGCACTCTGACATGGAGGTCGATAAAAATTGAGAATCAGATTTACTTCTCCAAAGTCCCATAATGAAACATAAAATTGATTAGAAAGTTAGAACTTCAGAATGAGCCAGCCCATCAATAAATTTTGAGCTGACTTTTCAGGGGATTTTTTTAACACCAAGAAACAGATTACTGAAAAATAAAGATTCACTTGAAAGATAAGTCACTTCATTTTAAGACTCCTTCCATGAGATGGATCACCACTGCTTTATGATATAAATTTGCAATCAGCCCTATTGACTTCTTAATGCTTCAGAGAAATATTGTTAAGATTGATTTAAACCCTGAGTGTGCCTCTTTGGGGGATGGGGTGAGTGGGAGAAGAAAGAGAGAGAAGGAAAGAGAGGAGGGAGGCGGAGGTGTGTAGCAGAGTACACCTGGATGCCTGTCCGGGGCCTCTACCAGTCTACATTGGTGTGAGTGAAGGTTGCATGGTGCTGTGTACAGGTGTGTGTTGTAAACACACCTATTTCATGAGTTCAAAACAATTATATTAAATTTAAAACTTCATTTTGTTGAGTTAACAGTGAGCTTTAAAATGCAGTTCATTTAAAACATTCATTGAATTAAGAAAACCATGAAGCTGTTTCACTAACTGGGTTTACTACATTGTTTTTGAGCTCACTGCTTTTCACACAATAGAAAGCTGGGCTTCTAACGTGACTTCATTGTCTTCAAAACCCTGATTCAAGCTGTTTCTATTCGCACCAGGGAGGGTGCTGCTGAGGGGGAAGAAGACATTCCCGGGGGCTGGCAATCTGAACCTGTGCAGGAACCCGGTGCACATTCTCAATAGCCTGGGATTAAGTCACGGCCCCTTTCTCCACAATCTGGTCTTGCAAGACCGTTTACCTAAGTGCTCCTCCCATTTTACAGAGGCCGAAACCATGAACAACACACCCCCCCCAAGGGGGTTATCAGTGCTGGCGCCAGGCCAGGCCTTTAGGTGTGGTCTCACAGCCCCCATCCCAACACATGGGGCTTTTTGCAAAGCCCGTGAAAGGTCCGGAAGTCTCATCCATATCTGGGGGACAAAGAAACCAAAGGGTATAAAGGGAGAGCTTCCTCCATATTGGGGGGCTCAGGATTTGGAGAGGAACAGTCTCCCCTGACTCACCGAATAGTACATGTGAAACATCTGAGAATAAGTGGGTTTTTCCTGTATATCCAAGTACTCATTCCTCTGTGTTCTCCGGTCGCCTGGTAAATTCTGTAACTGCCCCTCAGCTGATAGAGGGCAGGTCCTCTCCTTTCCATCAGATTCTCTGTGAGTCTAAATCAGGGGTGGGCAAACTTTTTGACTCGAGGCCACAATGGGTTCTTAAACTGGACCAGAGGGACGGAACAAAAGCATGGATGGAGTGTTTGTGTGAAATAATATAAATTCAAAGTAAACATCATTATATAAAAGGGTACAGTCTTTTTTTTTTTTAGTTTTATTCATTTCAAACGGGCCAGATCCGGCCCGCGGGCCGTAGTTTGCCCACGGCTAGTCTAAATGCACCTGGCCGGCGACAGGTGTGGGTGTTTGTATCGCAGGGTCTGGATGTGTGTGTTCATGGTTCTGGGTATGAGGAGATATACTGGGACCGTGTGTGTGTGTGTGTGTGTGTGTGTGTGTGTGTGTGTCAGGGTTCAAGCTTGGGGTGAGAATACGTTTTTCCACTCCCCAGACGATGCCAGTGGAGTTTTCTCCATTTTGCTGGGACCAGACCTTCACTCCTGCCCACCAGCCAGCACTCTAAGACCCCCCCGCCCCTGCATGGCCTGGCCCATCCCTGTCCCTCCATCTGCAGCTGGCCCTTGGCCAGGAGGTCCAGGGAAACTGCTGCTCCAAAGAGGGCTGGGCTCACATGAAAGTCAGGACTTCTTTCGCTTGTATAATATGTAAACCATTTCATATGCGCACAGCTTCCCCTGTTAACCATGTTTGTGTGTGTAGCTCAGCAGCACTAGGTACGCTCCCAGTGCTGTGCAGCCAACACCACTGTTCATGTGCAGAATTTTCCCATCTTCCAAGCGAGACTCCATGCCCATAACAGTACCTCCCTGCCCACCCACCCCTGCTCCTCACAGCCTCTATTCCGCTTCCTGTCTGTGAACTGTCCAGTCTCAGGACCTCGTAGAACTACTTTCACTCAAGATTTGTCCTTTGTGTTTGGCTCAGCTCACCAAGCATAATATTTTCAAGATCCACCCATGTTGCAGCCTGTATCAGAAGCCCTTCCCTTCCAGGCTAATAGTCCATTGTGTGGATACACCATTACTTACCCGTTCCCCGTCGGTGGACACGCAGGCTGCTTCCAGCGTTGGGCTGTTGAGAATGCTGTTGCTATGAGCATGGGTGCACAGACATCTGTTTGAGTGCCGGCGTTCAATCCTTTGGGTGCATACCCGACATGGAATTGCCGGATCGATGGCAATTCTAAGTTTAACTGTTTGAGGAAACACCAAGCTGTTTCCCACGGTGGCTGCACCATTTCACATTCCCACCACAGGGCACAGGGGCTCTAACTTCTCTGCGTCCTCACTAACAATTGTTATTTGCCAGTGTTTTAGAACAGCCAGCTGCTGGGTGTGCAGTGGAATCTTCAGACTCCTTTTTATTCAGACTCATTGCTCACCTCCTTCTCCATCTGGTTCCTTTTTGTCTGCTGTTCCCTTTCTCCCAGGCCCCTGAGCCCGTGCCAAATGATGTCCTTATTCATTCATTCACTCACTCATTCACCATTCATCCATCATTCATTCATTCAACAAATGTGTGTGGAGGACCTACTGCAGGCCAGGCGCCATGCTAGATGCTGAGAACAGCAGGAGACAAAACAGACGACATCCCCATCCCCTGGCACTTGCATTCTAATGTGGACACAGAGCCAAGCCATCAGCACACTATATAGGAGGTCAGGTGATGCCAGTGCTGGCGTGAGGCAGGCACAGGGGAGAGGAGGAGGGTCCAAGAGGTAATGGGGTCAGGGCACATGGGGTTGTGTAGCCCTTGCAAGGACTTCGGCTTTCACTCTGAGTGACCTGGGTCCATGGAAGGGTTGGGAGCAGAGGAGTGACGTGGTCTGGCTGTGGCGTTAAGAGTGTCGCCTCAGAGGGTCGCTGTGTCTCTGTCTCCCCTCCCCGCACCCTGTGCTCGCAGGCGCCCAAGAAGGAGCTACAGAACGGCGTGATCCGGGGCTACCAGATCGGCTACAGGGAGAACAGCCCTGGCAGCAGCGGGCAGTACAGCATCGTGGAGATGAAGGCCACCGGGGACAGCGAGGTCTACACCCTGGACAACCTCAGGAAGTTCGCGCAGTACGGGGTGGTGGTCCAGGCCTTCAACCGGGCCGGCACCGGGCCCTCATCCAGCGAGATCAACGCCACCACCCTGGAGGACGGTGAGGGCACCGGCGGGCCTAGAGGGTGCAGGTCCCGGCCACAGGCAGAGCCGGGGCTACGGACAGGGCGCGGGCCCTCCCCCCACTGCTGGCCCCATCATGGTCTTGTGTCCACACAGGCTCCCCGGATCCTCCATCTCCCCGTGCCATCGGCTCCTTGAGAGCTGCTTGGTCTGTTGAGCACCCAGGCGTCTCAGGCCATTGGCTCTCTGCATCCCTTGCTGATATCAGCTCGGCCCGCTAGTCCTGTGGCCTATCTGAGCACCTTTCTGCACACTCCCCCTCCATGCTTCTCCTCCACCTTCCC